TTCGGAGAGCGCAGCTCGCTGGCCCATGTGGGAATCTTACTGGCAACCTTGTTGTTCAGGGCATGCGCTCTAACCAACTAAGCCATCCGGCCACCCCCAGATTTCATTCTTTTTTACGGCTTAGTACTATTCTATCGTACATATGTACCACCTCTTCTTTATCCATTCATCCATTGATGGACACCCAGGCTGCCTCTGCATCTTGGCTATTGTAAATGCTGCTGCAGTGCAAATATGGTGCACATGTCCCTTCAAAGTAGTGCTTTAGTTTCTTCAGCTAAATCCCCAGAAGTGAGATTACTGGGTCCTTCTTTGTCTCTTGTTATATCATTTGTTTTAAAGTCTATTTTGTCTGGTGTAAGTATTGCTGCCCCAGCTTCCCCTACCACCTCCCCATTTTCATGGAGTATCTTTTTCCATCCCTTTACTTTCAGTCTGTGTGTGTCTTTCTATCTGAAATGAGTCTCTTGTAGGCAGCATATGTAGGGGTCCTGTTTTCTTATCCATTCAGCCACCCCATGCCTTTTGATTGGAGCATTTAATCCATTATATTTAAAGTAATTATTGATAGATATGTAGTTATTACCATTTTATTATTCATATTTTTTACCTTTTTTTTTCCTCTTCTTAAAGAAGTCCCTTTAATATTTCTTGTAATACTGGTTTGGTTGTAATGAACTCCTTTACACTTTCCTTGTCTGGAAAGATTTTTATCTGTCCTTAGACTGAAAATGATAGGTTTTCCTAGGTAGAGCAATCTTGGTTGTAGGTCTTGTTTTTCATCACTTTGAATATTTTGTGCCAATCCCTTCTGGCCTACACAGTTTCTGTTGAGAAATCAGCTGGCAGTCTTCTGGGAACTCCTTTGTGGGTAATGCACTGCTTTTCTCTTGCTCCTTTTAAGATTCTCTTTGTCTTTAACCTTTAGCATTTCAATTAGGATGTGTCTTGGCCTCTTTGGGTTCATTTTGTTTGGGACTCTCTGTATTTCCTGGCTTGTATGTCTATTCCCTTCACCAGGTCAGGGTAGTTTTCCATCATTATTTCTTCACATAGGTTTTCAGTTCCTTGCTGTATCTCTTCTACTTCTGGTACCCCTATAATGCAAATGTTGGTACACTTGATGTTGTCCCAGATGCCACTTAAGCTATTCTTTTTTGGATTCTTTTTTTTCCTTTTGCTGTTCTGATTGGGTGTTTTATGCTACCTTATCTTTTAAATCACTGATTCGATCCTCTGCTTCATCTAATCTACTGTTGATTCCCTCTAATGCAGCGTTTCTCAACCTTTCACAGGGGTCGCCTAAGACCATCGGAAAACACATATTTTTGATGGTCTTAGGAACCGAGACACCGCTCCTCTATCCATCTCCAGGAGGCCCACAAGCAGATACGCCCACATACGAGTACCCGGCGACCCCTGTGAAAGGGTCGTTCGACCCCCAAAGGGGTTGTGACCCACAGGTTGAGAACCACTGCTCTAATATATTCTTCATTTCAGTTATTGTCTTCTTCATTTCTGACCGGTTCCTTTTTATGTTTTCTATCTCCATTTTAATGTTTCCTATCTCTTTGTTGAAATTCTCCCTGAGATCACTGAGCATTCTCATAACCAGTGTTTGGAACTCTGCATCTGGTAGATCGCTTGTCTTCATCTTGTTTTGTTCTTTTCCTGGTGCTTTGTTCTGTTCTTCTACTTGGGACATGTTTCTTTGTCTCTCCAATTTGAGTGTCTCCCTGTGTTTGTTTCTGTGTATTAGGTAGGGCTGCTATGCCTCTCTGTCTTAGTAGAGTGGCCTTATATAGTAGGTGAAGTATGGGCCCAGTGATGCAGTCTCCCCAGTCACCTGAACTGGGCACTCCAGACATGTCCTTTGTGTGGGGTGTGTGTACCATCCTGTTGTAGTTGAGACTTGGTTGCTGTTTGCATGTCATGGGAGGGATTGACCCTCATCTGATTGGTTGTGTGGACTCGTCGTGATTACAATGGAGAATCTCTTGTACAGGGGATGACCCTACAGAGCAGGGTTCACTTTAGTGGGGCTCTGGTACCTGCCAAGTCTGCCCTTTGAGTGTGTTGTCTGTGGAGGTGGTTGAGTGGTGCTCTGGTGTGGTCTGAAGCTGGCCACTTGGTGTGTTGGTCCTGGGGCCTCTTGGGAGGGACCCTGCTGCTCGCCAAGGAGAGCTGCTCCCTGTGCCTTGCTCTGGGCCACTTGGTATGAGCTACAATGTGATCTGCAGATGGTTGCCACTTGTGCTGGGCTTGGTGGTACCTGGGAGAAGCTAAATGCAAACCGACACCAGCTACCACAAGTGCTAGGCTTGGGGCTGCTTAGCAAGAGGTACAGGGCATGCTGAGGCCAAATGTTGCTTGTTTGAGGTTTGTGAATCTTTCAGAGATTTTTAGAAAGTCTGCAGCATTAGCCAAGACAGGCCATTTGTGTGGAGAAGCCACCACAAGTGGCTTGGGTGGGCCCACAAGTTGGCTGGGATGGGGTACCAGGGTGGGGCAAACAGTGTCAGCTAGGTTGACGTAGACTCAGATATGGCACTTGCCTCTGCACTCTGGGGGGTGGGGGTGGGGGCTCAACCAGCATAATGGCTTCTGCCAACACTTGTGTCTGGGAGAAAGCTGCCCTTCCAGCCCTTGTCCTGAAGCCAGACAATTCAGTTTGTCCCCTGGTGCCCTTCGAGCTGCTGCCCCAGTGCTAGAGCTCTGAGCAAGTGAGTATGTCACTGAGTAATTCCATGTGCAGGCCCTTTAAGAGGAGCTCCTAGGAGTGCAGCCACCCTCCCTCTCACTCAGCCACAACCTCTGCTGGTTTTGACAGCCAGAAGTTATGGGGACTTCTCTTCCCAGCACTGGAGCCATGGGCTGGGGAGCCTGATGTGGCGCTGAGACAACTCCTAATTTTCAACCACCACATATGGGTGTGGCGACAGTCTGTTCTGTCTCTGCCCCTCCTATCAGTCTCCATGTGGCTTCTTCTGTATGTTCTGAGTTGTAGGACTTTGGTTCAGGTAGACTTTAGGTAATTCTCAATAAAGGTTGTTTTATAGTTTAGTTTAAGTTTGATGTGGCCATGAAAGGAGGCAAGTTCAGCGTTTACCTGTTCCACCATCTTGACCAGAACTCTGACTTCTGCATTCTATTCCACGATCTAGCCATAAGTGTTTTAATATGCCAAAACTGTTTTTCATCAAGTCACTGGGCAAAATTGACATTCCAAGATGAAAGGCCATGTTTGTCTTATAGCTTTACGAGTCCTGGACACAGTCCTTCACACTCCATTCTCTCAGAAGCAGTTTAAAAGAATGATAGAAAGGAGGACAAGGCCTTGTGGAGAGCAGATTGTCAACACTAGATTTCCCATTCTGACATCAAACTGACTAAATATCCCTATTCCACAGAACGCTCCTACCCGAATGCCAGCCTCTGAGAAACCCTCCATCTGTGCTGTCCACCCCTTCATCAAAACCTCCCAGCCTCCGCTGCCACTACCCCAAGCTCCACACTAGCTTCTCACCACAGTTTGTCTATACCTCACAAGAGTTTGTCTATACCCCATGAGAATTTGTCTATACCTCACGAGAGTTTGTCTATACCTCTGCAACTGCCTTCATCACACACTCATTTCATATATATATATATATATATATATATATATATATATATATATATATAGAGAGAGAGAGAGAGAGAGAGAGAGAGAGAGAGAGAGAGAGTTGTGTTGGGCACTGTCTCCCTCTCTACATTTTAAACTTAGGAGCGACGGGACATGCTTCTTATCTCAGCTGTTTATTCAGTGCTTTATCCACAATATGTGCTAAAGTTTTATTGAATTGATTAGCCTGGTCCTTTCTTCCTTTTTATGTTGCTAATAATTCTAAGCTCTAAAGGAAAGGAAATGATTAAAGATTAATTTCAAAATTTAACAAATTTTGTAGTCATAGTCAGAAATATAAAGTATAAGTTATTTTGTGGGGAGCTAAATTACTTTTCAACACTAGGCATGATATGATTTTCTTTTAAGGTAGGCATCAATGACTCATACATAACTGGTGAAAATGTAAAATGGTATAGCCACTCTAGACGTTAGTTTGGTAGTTTGTTATAAAACTAAATATGCTATTACCATATGACCCAGCAATTGCACTCTTGGGCATTATTCCCAAGAAATGAAAAGTTATGTTTACATAAAACCAGAACACGTATATTTATATCGGCTCCATTCATAATAGCAAAAAATTGGAAACCGAGGTATCCTTCAATAAATGAATGGTTAAACAAAGTAGTACATCCATATCATGGAATACCACTCAGCAATAAAAAGTAGTAAACTGTTGATATACACAACAACTTGGATGGATCTCAAGGCTATTATGCAGCGATAAAACAAACAAACAAACAAACAAACAAACAAAACATTTAGCCTCAAGTAGTTTTATGCTGTATGATTTCATTACAGTAAAATTCTTGAAATGACAAAATTAGAGATGGAGAACAGATTTGTGGTTGCCAGAGGTTAGAGACTTGGGGAAGAGGACGTGGGGTGGGGGGATTGCAGAGGGAGGGAGGTATAGCTTTAAAAGGGCAACTTGTGGTGATAAAACTATTCTATATCGACACGTGATTAAATTGCATAGAAACACACACAAACAAATGTGTGCATATAACACTGGCAAAATTTGAATAAGTTTGGTGGATTGTACCAATGCCAATTTTCTGGTTTGATATTGTTACCATTAGGAGAACCTGGGTGAAGTGTATATGAGATCTCCCTGTACATTTTTTGCAGTATCCTGTGGACCTATAATTATCATTTTCTTAAAAGTAGACACCAAAAGCAGATGCATTTTCCACTGAAGCAAACTGCCCATCTTCTTGGGGGTGCCAAAAATAGGCTTTTGTTTTTTAAAAAAACAAACTATGTTAGACCTAAAGGCTCCCAACATCACCACCATCAGTCGTTCGTCTGTATGTCTCCTGTCCATACTCACCAGTAGTAGAGAGTATAGTTAGTGTCAGGTCTTGTGTTCCTTCCAGGGAGCCAGGTACAATTCATGTAGCTCAGGTTGTGCCAAATGCATTGTAGCTCAGTCACAGCTGACTCAGGATCACCTAGAATACACAGTCGAGAGTTTAGGACCCTTTTTTTCTTGTAAGGTAAACTAGCCAATCACTCTGGGACATGGGGATGGTGAGAGTGTTTCATGCTGCTTTACACAAATTAAAATGTTCACAGCTTTCTCTCTTACCTCCTGATACTAAGAAAACAGTTTTATTATCACGGAAGGGTCCTAACTCTTATATCCCTAACTGGAGAGCAAGTTTAAAGATCAAATAATATTTCAATCATAGGAAATGACTACAGGATTACTAAATGAATGTGACTCTTAGTAGTTGCCTATTATGTGTTATGACTTTAGGAGCCTTAAAATCTTTATGATCTAAAATCTCAACCTTTATAAAGTTTTTTGAGTTAAAGCATCACGTCTCTAAGTTAAATGCCTCTGTTTAAGATGCAAACATGTTATCGCTAAGAATCCTTGAAGTTGTACTATACTGAGCCATCATCGACCATTTTACTGTCATAATACAATTTAGGTTTCTTTTGATTATTTCTTAAACTCCTAAAGAAATGAGAATAGGGGAGGTAAGTTGTTTTAAACCATGCTCCCAGCCTCCTAGCAGTATTGAATTTTATAATTTTACAAATATTACTTTTGATTAGTATAAGGCAGGTAGTCTATAGAACAAGCCATGTAGTGCTAAGGTTTGGAGGTAAGAGAAGGAGCCCTGCACAACCAAGGGGCAACATAATATTAATAGATAATCTGTAGAAAGCATTTATTCTTTGCCAGGCACTATTCTAAGCCCCTCACATATACTGACATGTAATCCTCTCAACAGTCCTGGGAGGCAGGTACTATCATCATCCCCATTTTACAGATGCGGAAACTGAAGGGAGGAGGAGCTAAGTGATCTGCCTAGGGTCACTCGACTAGAAGCTGGCAGAGCTGAGATTTAAACTTGAACATCTGGGTCCTGGTAGCCCTGCTGTTAATCAGTATATGCTACCCCCTGCATGTAACATAAAAGCTAAAGGACATTGGATAATGGGTGGGAAGGCAGTTGGGTGATAATGATCAACCTGACTACTTGACAGCTTTTCCTAGGGGTAGTCTTGAATTGGAGTCAGGCCACCATGCCCATTTTCCTTTTTAAACATCTTTCCCCAAACAATCCTGTAGATTAAACTAACCTCTCTATAGAATGAGGAAGATGGTACCTATTTGGGGGTTTTCTGAGGCACTGGACCTGGAATCTGAAGACCTACAGCAACTCACTCAGTTCCCTTCTTCCTCATAAAATGAATCGGAACATTGGTATTCAACGTGTCTGTGAGCACTTAGAAGGCAGGAAAGACCGCATATTGATCAGTGTGTTGCTACCACCTAGTCAAGTGCCGGGAACTTATTAGACTCAGCAAATGTTTGAAAATGAATGAATTAATTAACACTGAACATAAGCATATGGATAATTTGGATTTATTCTCTAAATAGCAAGAGAAATTGCTTTCAGTTGTTACCTTCAGGGGGTGAGATGCACTTTTCCACCAAAGTGCTAGGGTTGTCACTTTCATTGGTGCTACACTGGGACCCCACTTGCAAACAAACCTTCTCATTCAAGGGCACTTCTTTCGAACGATGAGTTTCTGGAGCAATTTTCTAAAGTTAGGAAATAAAAATAGTCATTGCTGTAGCAAACATACAGAAATACACTTATGTAATAAAATATTGGCATGTCCAGATGTGTAAAACAAAACAAAACAAAACGGAAAGTTATCCAATGGTATAGATAAGTCATCTCAACCTGCAGTGATTTTGCTCCCCCAATCCCCGGGGGACATTTAGTAATGTCTAAGAACACTTTTAGTTGTCATAACTTGAAGGGGGCTGCTACTGGCATTTAGTGGGTAGAGGCCAAAGATGCTGCTAAACATCCTACAAGACACAGGACAGCCTTCCCTTCCCCCTACAACAAGAATTATCCTGTGCCAAATGTCAGTGGTGCCACCACTGAGAAACCCTGGTATAGATAAAAGATAATTTCCCACATTTTAAATGTAGAAACATCATGACATTTACCTATAAGCCTACCATACTAAAACATTCAACTGTCTAAAAGCAATTATAAAGGAAACACAATAAGATTATCAAAATCCAATTACAAACAGACATAGTATGCCATCAAGATCAAGGTAAATGGGACTGCTTTAAGAATCCAGTGATCCTAGTCACCTCTGAGGAGAGGAAGTTAAGAAAGGGGACCTGAGGGCCAAAGAGAGACTTTTCATTAAACATCTTTGTGTACTGTTTGACCATATTGACTATCTCCTATATACATATAAGTTTTAAGGGTTGCTATGTGTATTGAGTATACCACACTTTTATTCTGAAAAGTAGATAAGCTTTGTGGAACCACAGAAAGCCAACTCATAGACAGCATACAGACATAAATCATAAATCTGGTTATATGATTTAAAATAATGAGATTAAAGGGCTTTTGAGGAAATTAACATTTCCCATGGGGAGAGAGTTGGAATTAAGAATGAAGCTACTTTTAATCAGAGCTCCAAGGAGTTTCCTGTTTTGCAATAGTTTCTGACTCAAGGAGACAGCATTTCCTTTTATATACGTGCCAATGGCCACGAAGGGGAAAATTTGTCATAGCTACCTCTACCATCCTAAGGGGCTATTCTGCCATTTCACATGCCTGCTGATAGCTGAACATGAAGACAACTGTGAGATACTCCCAAAACCAGGACATAGGATGCCCTCTGAGAGGTAGCCAACAAGTCAAGAATTCATGAACCACAGCAAAGATATGAAAAAAAATCACTTTATAGAGACTGAACAGCTCTTAGACCCAGGCAAGACAGCACTCTGAAAAGGGAGTTAAATGGTTAGCCCTGGAAGAAAAGAAAAAAAAAAGTCTGCAAGCAAAATTCTAGCCGGGGACACTGAGTATTTCTGTCCAACCCACAGTAGGGCCTCCAGCTATTCTTAACCAAGTACAGTTTCACACCTAATTCCTGATTCCTTGCTTAGAAATCTATTTATCATTTGCCTTTCCATACAGTTGCTGCTTACAGGGATGGAACGCACCAGTTTTGCTACAGAAGGCTTTCAAGAATGTTTCACCTTTATAATTTTTATGGCAAGGTAAGGAAGTAGCCCTTCAGAGGTGAATGTGTGCTGAGGAAATGATGTTTCTCAGCCTGTGAAACTGAAGGCCAGGATCATGGTAATGGTGGAGGAGAGTTCCAAATGCAAATTTCACCAACCTCATAATTTTATTAAGCACAAGTCCTACACAGTAAATCCTCACTTAATGTTGTTAATAGCTTCTGTGACTTTAAGTGAAACGACATATAACGAAACCAATTTCATCACAGGCTAGTTGATATAAACAAGAGTTAAGTTCCTATGGCACGTCATCAACGTTAAAACAAAACAATGTTGAACGAAATGACATTATTTGAGGACCTGTTGAATACCCCTGAAGGAGCCACCCTGATCTAGGGATCCTTGATAATTCTTGTTTGGAAGCTGCATTTGACTTTTGAGGACACCAGGGGAAAAATGTACAGTCAAATGCCATAAATTAGAATCATCATGGAAAAAATCCCACTTCTCTTATTATATTACATGTTGTTTCAATGAGAGGGCTGAGGAGTTTTATTATACAAATATGTTTATTATAAAAAATTGTTTTAATGGAAAAAATATGTTAGCACCTTAATTTGAACCTTATGTTTTGGGCATATGAATAATAAAATGACTTGGGAAAAAAAGAGTAAGAGATAAGATAGAATTATTTTTTAAAATCTCTTTTAAAGCTCAAAGTAAATAATAGTAAATTGGCATGAATAAAATAGGAACCCAAAATGTCAATGTTTGCCAAGTCAAATGAACTTCTCTCTATCAGACGAGGAGCTAAAGCCCTCCCAGCAGATCTTGATGAGGTATGTGTGATGGCTCCCACGTGACTTTTGGCTATGGTGACTCATTCCACGGTAGCTAGCTGCTGTATGATATAGTTCCACCTATCAGTGAATCAGGTGTCCTTTGAAAATTTATCAAAAACCAAGGCCAGAGTCCTGAACTGATCCGTCCCCCTCAGGACCAATGTTTTTTTGGCTGGATCGAACCTTTCCCAATTACAGATTTCTTTCTCAGAAGGAAAGGGGTGTCAGCTTCAGCTCTGCCTGAACAGAACAACAACCTATTAACTGATTCACCTGGTGAGACTTGCCTATCTCTTGGTGATGAAAGCTATCTAAAATCTAATGCCAGATCCTTCTTCTACTTGCCAGACTGGGAAACTATTAGAGATTGTTAAAACACTGGTGGAGGGCAGCCACTTATAGTAATTTTTTTTATTTTTTAAACATCATCTATGAATCCTTGAGTCATCTTAATGGTCTTCCAATCTGAAGATTGAAAATGACATCAAGAGTTTATCTCATTTAGCAACTTGGGACCTTTAGACATTCTCATAGCCCCTTAACATTTATAAACTATCATAATACCACTGCTTCAATATGCTTCAAAGGATATATGCACCCTAGTTTTGTCTGATTATGTTAATGCTGTGTCCAAAGAACAAAATGAAAAAAGGAAAATCACTCCCGCCATTCATTCTCAGCCTCAAGATTGTAACCTTCAAAAGGTCCAGACCGGAAATCTCCCCCCAGCACTGATTGGAAGAAATAATCCATATTTATCACAACTGAGGGACTGGTAGCCATCAATGCTGTCAAATGACTGGAATAAATGACTTAAGGAGACGTCACACTTTATGTTCTCCATCTGGTCTCTTCAGAGGCAAAATGAGGGGAACAAGATTAAATGACAATATTAGGTGGCACCACAGAATATGACCTATAAAAGTGACAACTGCTTATGGTTCAACCTAACAACAGTAATAATAAAAGCTAACAACTGTTGGAACACTAACTCTGCGCCAGGTGCATTACAAACACCATCTCCTTTTAATACACATGCTCTTCATGTGAAGTAGGTACAGCTGGCCCTTGCACAACGAGGGGATTGGGGCACCCACCCTCCCCCAATGCGGTAGAAAATACTCATATAACTTTGATCTACAGTCGACCCTTTGAATACACAGATTCAACCAACCACCAATCAAAAACAGTATTTTCAACCCAAAACAATATTTTCAATCCGCAGATGGGAAACCACAGCTGGGAATGTAAAAATACTATTTTCGATTAGTGGTTGGTTGAATCCGCAGATACAAAAACCAGCACATAGCAAGAGCCTACTGTAGTTATTGAAAAACATTCACGTATAAGTGAATCTGTGTGGTTAGAACCCCAGTTGTTTAAGGGTCCTCTGTACTATTATTAGCTCATCCCCTTCCCCAAACTTTTACAAACAAGGAAATGGAGACTCAGAGAGGTTAAGTGACTTGCCCAAGATCACACAGCTTGAAAGGGGAAGTGACAAAATTTCAAATCCAATTCTATCTGACTCCACTGCCTCCTAAAATTACTTTTAAGTCTAAATTTCTGTAAGTATTCTGAGGAATTAGACCCATTTCTAGGCTAGAATATCAGCATGTCTACCTAACTGATCCTTGAGCATGGCTGACAGACTAATGAATAGGGGCCTGTTAGAAAAAAGGTGACCCCTCGTCAGAGTTTTGATTAGATACTTAGTGGAAACTTAAGGGTCTTTCTCAGAATTTCTCAAGACTGAATGACCAAAAGTTGCTACTGACTCCAAATGCCTAAGGCCCCCTCCTTAGGAACAAGTGGAAGCCAACATAGTAAAAAAGGGAACTCAAATATGTACTCAAGTTTCACTGCTAGAAGTATGGCAGGCTTCTGCATTTAGAGGACCTCTTTAAAAATGCAAGCACTTTTGACTAGCCTCAATTCTTTATCAATTAACACCTACACCTTAATTAACACCTCAGCAGGAAAAGGGCAGGAAGGCAGATTAGCAAATTTTCCTTAAGAGAAAAAGCCTGTTCCATCCTCACTTGATTAAGCCTTCGCATATATTATTTACCACGTCCCAGCAAGCCAGGGAAGTGAGTAGAGCCACACTTTACACACAAGGACACTGAGGCTCAGAGAGGCCTTTTCAATTAAGTCATTTACCCCAGAACACTGAGCTAGCTAAGTGGTGCACCTAGTTCTCCTGACTCTTCCTGCCACCAAGCTACTTGAACATGATGATTTCACAATTCACAACTCCAAAGTAGTCACTAATAACTTCTCATTCGGTCTCCACAAAATCCTGGACAAAGTCAACCCCAAACGTCTCCCACCCCCCCACACCCCGCTGCAAGTATAAAGATATAAAACAGATTTGAACAGATGATCTGATGTTTTGAAGAACCCGTCAATTAGAAGGGGCTACAAACTAGTAAGGCCTAAGAGAAAATTCCTTTGAATAAGATTATCACAAAGAACCCAAAATTATCCAATCTTGTTAACAAAAATTCATGTAAATCAGTCAACTACGTCTGATTGGAAAGAGTGAAAGTTCCCTTCATTTTTCATCATGCATTAGGAAGCCCAGTCTAGTCAACCCCACCTGCCATTGACATCTTTTTTTTTCGCTTTCCATATGGCCATTTGCTTTGCATCATATTTATCTGTGCATGTGATTAGTAAGATGGTGAATGTGAAAATCCCCTGAGAAACTGGAAGTGTTGTATAGATACAAGGCCACAGGCAGGAACACAGGAACCAATTTGAACATAGTTATTTATTGAGTGCCTAGTAGGTAAAGATATCTTAGCATTTCCTATCAGAGGATCTCAATTGTATTTGATTATCAAATAATTAGCAAATATCCTCAAATGTTCAGTTTTGTCAACAGTTGGTTCTGTAATTTTGACAGTTAAAATTTGTACACAACCCAAAATAAAATTCCCATTTTGAAGTAAGATTAGAATTTGGCTTATTCTTGGGTCTAATACATAGTGTTCCCTTTATCTCATCAATGACATATGTTCCAGAAAACTTACCTTATCCTGCTTGTTGCCAAAATGACTAAAATACCACAGACTACAATTCGGGCTGGCTCCCTCTGGAGGATTCCATGTCCATATTACCGTGCAGAGGTTTTCAACAGAAACACTCAAATTTGTCACCGGTGGCTGAGTTTCTGTTCAAATCAAGCACAAGAAATAAATTTGTCAACATCAGTCAGTGATTTTAATGGCTCATTTAATCCGTTCGTCCAAGTCCTAGAGGCCAAGAGTAAGAAAACTGAGTAGAAATATCTGACATTCAATGAGCCAAGCACTGTTCTAAGTACTCTCCATATATTTGCCCACTGAATCCTCACAACCACCTTATAAGATAGGGACTATCAGTCTCATCTTAAAGATGAGGTGACTGAGGTACAGGGACTATGAGTCACTTGTCCCATATCCTAAGGCTTGTAAATGGCAGAGCTGGGATGCAAACCCAGATAGTGTGGCTCCAAGGCCCCACATTCGTAACTACTTGCTATCCTGTGAACACAGAGAGAGTATATTCTTAAAATTTTAAGTTTTCCTTCTGCAGGAATTTGGGGTCCCCTACACTTGGAATCCACACCTCCCTCAATACAGATACTTCCCTCTCAGCAGTTCTGCCAGTGAGCTTAAGCAGCTCATCTTTAATCGTGCTTGTTAACTTGACCTGGTAATTATTTTTATAACTCTTCCATAGAAGCACTGAAAGAAATTTAACAGCCCTTGCCGCTCCCCTGAGGTCTGACAGTAAACAGCTGGAACTGTAGCTTCGACTAATCTGAAGAGGGAAGAAAAGAGGAGAAACTGTGAACCAGTGTCTTAAAAATATTTCATCTGGAGAAAACCCACCACCGTCTCCACCAAATATTCAATGACTATTATTTTGGACCCAGCTCTAAATATCAGAGAAAGGAGTTTCACCTTTCACTGCTTCTGCCACATACAGGGAAAAACATTGTTAGCGGGTGGGGGGAGAAACATCATTTCAATCTTTCCGGAGAACTTCTAAAACCAAGGCTATCAAAACCATCCCCTTAGACATTGGGTGAGGGATGTACAGGAATGCTCTGTCCTATCTTTGCAACTTTTCTGTAAATAAAAAATTATTCCTAAATAAAGACTATTAAACTATTTAAAACAACCCCTCAAAATCGTCTAAAGTGGGAAACTTAATCATTATTAATTACTTAAGGACTACAGTTGTATTAATTTATCAGTCGATATAGTTATATTTTATACTCTATGCCATCACTTTGGAGTACACTGGGCCTCTTTATATAATCTGCAATACTTAAACCATTACCTTCCTCTTTAACTGAACAAAAAAATTCTACATGTCCCAAAGATATCAACCACACAAGCATTACATAGTTGGGATTTCCCCAACAGTCAGTTTTCTACATAGCAGCCCACAAAGGCCTTTGACTCAACATTCATTCCCTCTTTCCCAACTCCATTAGCTTTCCTGCAAGGTAGACCAGAGGCCCAACTGTGAGGAGGAACAGCTCACAGCAGGCCAAGTCCTTGTGGAAACAGGGAATCCCAATTGCAGTGCATTCAAACCCAGCTAGTGCCAGGGAGCACCAATGGCTTCAGCAACAGTGCTGGCGTTAGGATGTGAAGCGATTACAGGAGTATCCCACTATTCCGTTTTGGCCCTTTTAACATCCTATCAATGATGTTTTTGAAGGCAAATCACTGGTCAGATATAGAGCCTGTAATAAAAAACTTGCTCTTACTGAAGACTACAATCGACTTTAGGATTACCTACCTTATTCTGCAGGTTCAAGAACCACACTGCAGCAAACTTCCTGGCACTACCTTCCCACCTACCTCCCATTCCCACACAAAAAGTAAAAAAACCCTGATAATAAAAATATTATCTAGTTATGGTTCACTTAAATTGCACCCCAATTTTCAAGGTGTAAGACCTTTTTAAGTCTATTTTAATAGAACAATAAATAACCTGTCCTATTTCCAATCCCCACATGGGTTTGATTTTCCCCCCATCTGTTTTGAAGTGTCCTTTAGTCAGATCTTCTAATTGTTTTGCATTTTAGGCTACTTGTAGCTATCTGCAATCCTTTTTCTTTCTAATGGTTCCTTCCATTTCTCTTGAGATTTTTTTACTTCCTAGACTTTAAAACACACACACACACACACACACACACACGCACTATAAAGTTTAAATACACTCTCCAGATGTTTAAACATATGTGAATACATGTGTGTATAATACATCCCAACATCTACATAAACAAGTGGAGACTGTACTTCTTGTAAAGGTCTCTAACAGCTGCTCAATGTAGTAGGAAAGGCAATTTCAGTCGAGTGTAGTGACTAAGAACATGGACTCTGGAGCCAGATTGCCTGAGTTCATATGCCAGCTGTGTTACTCACTAGCTGGCAAGTCACTTAACCTCTCTATGTCTCAGTTTACACATCTATAACATGAGGATGATCATAATAACCTAATGATTATTATGAGGATTAAATGAGTTAATACAGATAAAATGCTCAGAACAGTGCCTGGCACAGGGCAAGTGCTAGATAAATGTTAGCTAGCTGCTTTCTTTCTTTTTAAAGAGACAAAACAATTTTAAACAATTGTTTTGGAAGTAATATGTGCCCATGGCCTTTGAGACAAAACATGTATCTATTCTGCCTGCTAAGCTTTCCTTAGTTACCTAATTTCACCCACTTCTTAGAGGTTGATCACTGACTTCAGAGAGCGAAGTGGGAAGGAGAGAGGGACTCACATAGCTCCCCCCCAACTAAACTTCAACCCTCAAGTGAGTCTGTATGGTCATCTAACACAATATCCTATTCTAATTAGGAATTAACATGAGCAATGCTCTTTCTTATAAAAAGACATATTGCTTAGCTCATAGTTTTGCATGCATATTTCAGGAAAAGTTAAGGAAATCACAATAATCACATATGAGTCATCCATCTCCTTCCCTTACATCTACTCAGTCATCAACTTCTGCCCATTCTTTCTTGCTACACCTCTCTCATCATCCCAATCACACTAATGTGCTCTGCTGGGCCCCATGAGGCAGACAGACACCAGTAAGCCGTTGTTCTGGGCAGGAGGCGTTTATAACACATGTTTCTAGTGGACACCTTCAAGCCTATATTCCTGTGTAGCTTCATACTCCAGCAATTCCCCTCACACAGTCCAGTCTCCCTGATCACTTCTCCTCCAGTGTCATTTCCCTCACACTGGCCCCCACTCAGGGCCTTAAAGGGCAAATGAGGCTCTTCTGCTTGGACCGACTTTGCCAATGCACCCTCCTCGCTGATTACAAAAGAACACGCTTGCCCTCTTTCTTCAAGGTCTCTGCTCCTGCTATCCCTTCATACTGGGAATAAATTCTCTCCTCCACCTACTCAACTTCCACCCATCCTGAAGGTCTAGCTCAAGTTTTACCTCTTCCACAAAACCACCAGTCCTCCGTTTCCACTCTTCTGAACGCCTACAGTGCTTACTGTTTGGACCACACAGTCTGGCAATTATAAAGCGAGTCTCCAATCTCACTTTATATCATTCACTTCATAACTAATAGCCTGTACATACTTTCATGGGTCCCAACCAGTTCTGCCCTGTTACTCTGGGAGGTGCCCAGCTCCTCTCTCAGCCAAGGACTCCCCTCACTTCTAAACAGAGAGGCGCTGAATACAGTGGTTAAGGGCCTGGCCTCTGGAATCAGGCTGCTGGTGTCGGAAGCCGGGCTCCGCCACTCGACCAGCTATGAGACTTTGAGCAAGGCTCTTCGCCTTACTGTGTGTGCCTCAGCTTCCTCATGTAGAAAATGGAATAACAGCACCTACAAGATAGGTTTTGGGTAAAGATTAAAAGAAATAGTACAAGTGAAAAGCTTAGGACACTGCCTAGCATAGAGTAAACACTACATAAATGCTAGTTGGTGTTATTAAGACACATCACAATGTGGGCTATCAAACCTAAACAGACTAGACTAAGTTGGTAGCCTAATCATTTTTATAAACGATCAGAAGATTTCAGCTAGAAAGAGCCTTTAGAACTTACGGAGTTCAACCTCCTCCTTTCACAGATGAGAAAACTGCTGCACAAGGAAATGACTAGCCCAGAGTCCCACAGCTGTGAAATGTCAGACCACTAAAACCCTCCCTTTTTTTCCTTCCTCATACCTCAATGAAATTCTATCAATATTTCTAATGGGAAAAAAAGTTTCTGTATTCTAAGTAATCAAGTTACCAATGAACCCATGTGACAAGACTGATTAAGTTGGGGGTTGCCAGTATTGTCTAGAAGGCCAGCTGTTGTTTCAGGTGTGTGTGGGAGGGACTCTGTAGGAGGGAGGGTGCTGAAGCAGCACTGTGAAAATCAGGAGACTAATGAGATGGGTGACCCTAGACAAGTCCTTTCCCGTCTCTGGACCTTAGTTTCCCCAAATTATTATGGGAATCGGATCTCCTCAACTAAACTTAGCGGCACCTTGGGGACAAGGACGATGCTGTAAACGCTCAGGTTCTAAGCGAACCTACAGAGCCTGACTCAGTATTAAACAAGGCAAACACTTGAATAATTACTGCCTGACAAACTTCGAACCTCTTTCAGGTCTCTAGTCAAATGCCACGTTTTCAGTGAGGCCTTCCCACTCTACCCCTTTACAACGGCAAACCCCTCTCCCACTTTATCTCCACAGTACTTAGTGCCACCTGACATACCTTAATATTTTACTTTTTTACCCCCTCTCGGACTCTGCCAATAGCACATAAACTCCACAGGGCGGGGACTTGATCTGTTTTCCTCACTGCTGCATCCTCTGCCCCTAAACACTGCCTGGCACAGAGCAGACTTTGCATACGTGTTGTTGACTGAATCAACAGAGGACGTCAAGGTTTCCTAATCAGCATTTCAACTTGGGTTTCAAAGCACAACATGCTGGTGAAAACGCAGTAAGCAAATGGTGGGTGTTTGTGTCAACATGATAATAAAACCTATCAAATTTGACCCAAAATGTCCAGAAGGCCACGCGTGCCAGGAGCTGTCCGTGAGGAAGTCATTAGCCCGCAACTGTTCACAGTAAGAGTAGTTGAATAAAAAGTTGTAGTGCGGGGTGAGAGATATACATGATGTCTCTGTACTTTCTTTGCAACTTTTTCTGTAAATAGAAAATTATTCCAAAATATAAAGATTATTAAAGAAAAAAAACAAAACGGCATCTGCCTGGATGCTGTTCCGGATTTCCCAATGGATTTCTTGGGGTCTGGAGGAGGTCGTGACCGTCACGTCCTTGTTCTACGAGGACGAGGCTCTTTGGAGGTTCCATCTACGCCCACCCCTTCATTGGACCCAGCTCTCCCAGACCTCGCTCGCCGTTCCCACTGGCTTCTGGCCCCTCACCCCCCCGAGTTCACACAGGACATTCAGGGTTCCAGCCAGCCGCCCCCCGCCCAACGACGCCGCGGGCATGTTTCCATCCGGCGCTCCGGCGCCAGGCTCCTTGGTTCTACCCGACAGCGCAAGGGAAGTGCGGCGGCGAGTCGTCTTCTTCCCGCTCCGCCGCCGCCGCCGCACGGAATCCGGGCAAGCCCCGCCGCTCCAGGGTCCCCTACCTCGCACCCGGCACCGGAGGCTGCCGTCGCCGAGCGCTGGGCATCGACAGAAGGCCCCCGGCGCCCACCCTCGCCGCGGCCCTAGGCCCCGCGGAGCCCTCGCCCGACCCTCGGCCGCCGCCCCGGGCCCGGGGGCTGCACTCACCGGTGGGCGCGGCGTCCCCGCCGTCGGCGAAGCAGAGCAGCAGTACCCACAGCCCGCAGAGCCGCGCCGGCAGCTCCATGCAGCCCCTCGCCCCGGATCCCGGCGGGTGGTGGCAGCCTCGGCAGTCTCCGCCTCCTTCGCTCCCGCTCCCACTTCCCGGCTCCGCCGCCCCGCAGGCTGGGGGCCGGCTCAGACGGGAAGAGCCGCCCCGCCCACCGGCCGCAGGTAACCCGAGCCGGCCAGCACGGGCGGGGGCGGGGCGCGGCGGCTCCGCGGCGCTGCACCTGGCCCCGCCGCCCCCCCCCCCCACCCCCGGCCCCTCCCGAGTCCCGTCGCCGGCCCAACAGAACTTCCTCGACAACGTCGCGGCCCAACCCGACCGCCTGCTGTCCCCGCCCCGGCCCGCGTCGCCGCTGCCTGCCGACTGCAGGGTCTCGGGTGCCAAGGGCAGGGCCAGCTACGGAAGGAGCTTTGGCCTGGGAGTCTGGGCTGCCAGTCTTGACCTCTGAACCCTTGTTTCCTAAACTGTGACTCGAGGGAATAATCACAGACCGGCCTCACAGGGTGGATTTGGAAGGCCACCGAGGGGACTTGGCATAGCGGCTCTGTGACAAGGAAGAAACGTATATTTGAATAATACATAATGTCGAATAGGAAAGAAAAAGCACAACTCTAAACTTGAGGGTCATTGAGGCTGGGGATGGAGGAAAACTGGAACCCTTATTAGTTTCCCATTGCTGCTGTAACGGATTACCACGTATTTAGTGACTTAAAGAAACAGTTTTATTATATTAGAGTTCTGGATATGAGAAATCTCACTGAGCTAAAATCAAGGTGTGGGCAGAGCTGCCTTTCTTCTGGACGGTCTACAGAACAATCTATCTCCTTGCCTTTTTCATCTTCTAGAGACTGCCCACATCCTTTCGCTTGTTGCTATACCACTTAGACCTCTACTTCCCTGGTCACATCTCCTCTGACTCTGACCCTCCTGTCTTCCTCTTTCATTTATTAAAATCCCTGTGATTAGGGGCAGCCGGTTAGCTCAGGTGATTAGAGCGCAGGCTCAAAACATCAAGGTTGCTGGTTCGATTCCCACATGGGCCACGGAGCTGCGCCATCCACAACTAGATTGAAGACAACTACTTGACTTGGAGCTGATAGGTCCTGGACAAACACACTGTTCCCCAGTAAAATTTCTTAAAAAAATACACACACACAAAAAAAAACCCTGTGATTAGATTGGACTAACCAAATAATCCATGATAATCTCCTCATCTCAAAACCCTTGATTTAATCACATCTGCAAAGTCACTTTTGCAATGTAAGTTAACATTCACAGTTGTCTGGGATTAGGGCATGAACATCGTGGGTGGGGGGCATCATTCTGTCACCACCCCCAAAAAAGAGTCATGTCTGGATGGATGATGAGACCCAGTAACTGCGGTGTATTTCGGTGGAACGAAACCAATGTATATACCCCTGAAATATGTTGCAAAGAATATAGCAATCAAGATGCTGATAATACACCTAGTCTAGACCTTCCCCAAAGAGCATGGGGATGTTTAACCTATCCGAAACTTGCTCTTGGCCCTCAAATTCAATAAATGTTTATTGTCCTTCCACGAACTCTGGTAGACTGTCATTAAAAGCTGCAACCAGGGCCGGCTGAGTGGAGCATTGGTTAAGAGCTGGCTTGGGACACCAGCTCTGTGCAGCAGGGCCCCGGTTCAAATCCCACATGAGGGTCAGTGACACTCCCCTCTAAGATGGTGAACAACAGTTCAACCTGGAGCTGGGATGCTGTGAGTTGCCGGCGATGGTGTAGGCTGCAGCCCCTGCTTCAGTGGGCTGCCATAAGCTACTGAGTGTGGCCGGCAGCCAGCGTGAGCAGCCAATAGCCGGTATGAGCTGCCAAGAGCCACTGTGAGCGACTGTCCAGAGGCCGGCAACCGATCTGCCTCACCCGGGAAGAGCGCAATGGTAATACCAACATGGGCCAGTGAGGTGACATCCTCCACAACTAGACTGAAGAACCAAAGAACAGCAACTTGTCTGCTCCCCTTCCCCGATTCCCCAACACTGTTCTCCTCTCCCAGTTCCCCAATAAAATCTTTAAAAAAAAAGCTGCAACCAGTGCAAGGCACTATCATAAAGACAAGAACAAAGACCTCGGGGACACAAAGAAGGGGCACCTTCTGGGAAGGTGGTTCAGGAAACAGGTCTGCCTGTGCTAAATCTTGGGACATCGAGTCCTGCAGTTGAAGGTTCAGCGTAAATCCTTGCCTGCATATATTATTCAACAAAATAATGTTTATGAAAACACTTTGTAAACTGTCAAAGCCTATAGAACTGACAGATTATTTCTCAGTTATCATTTCTTATACTATAATTTCTAAATCCCCTTGTAAACAGGCCAGCAGCCACTCTCTAACCTAAGGCCCCTCTCCCCCATCCCTACACACATGCACTTGTTGACATTTGCCATAAACATTATATAATAAGTTTATAATAATGATTCCAAAATGATTATGTCATCTGCCTTTAAGAAGTCTCCAATTGGAACAGGAATCCTTGGGGACTGGCTGAGTGCCATTGAGGGCACTGTCTGCATAGACAGAGCAAGTGCTTAATGGAAGAACAGTAATGGCAGCAAATTATTAGGAAAATAAGGGTCACAACTTGTCATTAGCTTCCAGAACAGACTCTGAAAATTTGAACACTGTGAACAAAAAGACAAAGGGCGGCACTGTGGCCATGATAGTCTGGCCTGCTGTCTGTGAGTAAGACTGTTATAGTCAGTTCCACTTCCTCTTGACGCTAAACAAAACAACATTTTAAAAAAAACTGAAGGGGGTGGTGAAGGTTAGGAATTGTGTTTCTTGAACATCAAACTTTTATTTGTAATTTCTGTGTACTTTTATTCAAAGCGCATCTTGGATGGAATTAGGCCACTGTCCTGGTCTGCAGGAAGATGAAGATAAATGGAAGGCTTTCCAGGAACTGCCATAAACACAGAGCTCTCATTTTGCCTCAAAGTCATGATGAGTCAACATCAAGTTTAACTTTAACCCTTAATCCATTGAGCCCTGACAACTTGGGTGTGAGACTACCAATCCCCGTTTTTTGCACTTTGTCCTGAGGTGTCTGGGCTGTCCTGTCTACCTCAGCCACTTTAGTTGGCTTTTTCTTTAATTTTTCCCTTTCTCACTAAGGCTTTCTCCTTTTCTGTAAGTGGAGTTAGAAAAAGGCACAAACAAGAAACTATCTGGGAGAAGAGAATAATGTCCCTGTTTCCAAAGTCAGGTCTTCCATCGGTTAGAAATACCCTCCTGAATTCATAAAAGACAAAGACACCAGCATAAACCAATGGCTTCCCTAAGAATTCTGACTTCTTAGGCAAAAATTCCACAAAGTGTCTCCTATCTTTTATTAAGCAAAAACTGAACAGATCCTCACGGCCACTGCAAAGAAAAAAAGGGAAGACGCAAATAGGGAATTTCCCTCCTTCTGACACTAGAGCAATGGTTCTCAAAGGGGGTGATTTTGCCTCCTCAGGGAGCATCGGGTAATGTCTGGAGATATTTTTGTCATGACTTGGGGTGATGGGTATGCTACTGACACCTCACATGTAGAGGGCAGGGATGCTGCTAAACATCCTACTATGCACAGGATAGTCCCCCACCACAAAGACTTATTCAACTCAAAATGACAATAGTGCCAAAGTTGAGAAATCCTGAGCTAATGTACTCTTTGTTATCTTTTGTACTTGGCCCCTACCCACCCATTGTCCTCATGCCCACTAAACATTTGTGAGAGATTAATGCTAAAGGTACTTACCCTGACACCTCCTTTCCTTGTATCAAGTGCTCCTAGTTTCTTCACCCCACCATCCAGCCCTGCAGTCACTTACATCATAAGACATCTCTCAGATGTATTCTCTACCCGCCTCATTTCCACTGTTCAACTGGGGGCCTTATCACCTTTCCCTTATACTATCAAACTGGCCCTCAAATCTGCCCTCCCCAAGACAGATCGTCTCAGTGTGCAAATCTGATCATTTCACTCCCAGCTTGTTTCTTAAGTGACGCCCCCCTCCCCTCAAATGCCACAAAAGGATGTCCTACTCCTTTGCCTGCAGGATTGCTTCTTCATGACAGACTCCCCTAACTCTTCCCAGCTTCACTGCCAGCCACGCTACCCAAGTCACTCGGAGCTCTCACACTCTGACTGGCCACCTTTAGGCTGAATGTCTCTTGTAGGCAATTTTGTTTGGCCTGCATCCTGTTTAAATTTATTTGGATTTAGATGTCAAAAATGAAAAGAAAAATCAGGAGATTTTGCGTAACACCCCAGATTTCCAGCTTCTCTTAAGAAATCAGAAGTTCTGGTAACATTAGAACTGCGTTCCAATGTGCCAACAGTCAGCAGGCACTAAGCAGGGGCGGCCACCTTAGCAACAGGGCACATGCTCCCTGGCCTGGCCTGCTCCCCTCACTTACTACTTGCCTGGCCCCTGTTTGTCACCTCTGCTATTTTCTAACTCCAAACCTTTCCTCTTGCTGTTCTCTTTGCCCAGAAAGCTTTTGTGTTTCTCAAGTGTCACATGTTTTTGGCTTTTTAAACCCCCAAATGCAAAATTCTTTACTCCTTCCTATATGTATGCTCATGGCACTTGACAAATCCCTCTACCATAGTAAATAATACAGAGGGTTGTGTGTATGTCTATTTATGCCAATGGATTCAACCTCCTGGAGTCCAGAGACTATTCAGAGTGACTTTAGGATTTCCACATAGGAGTTGCTTAGGGGCAGTAATCTAATTGGAAGGGACAACAACCACAGGCCTTGTCTTGAAGCCATGTGTGTGTAGCAAGCACACTGTTCTTACTTAGATTCTAAGTTTATTTGGGACAGCTGGAGTGAAGACAACATCCAGCACCACAGAGAAGATAAAGATGAATATATCATGGTCAGTGACATACCATGCCTTCAATGTGTGGGCTTAGTTGACTTAACTGAAAATTCTTGTTCTTCAGCAAGTGGTTTTTCTACAGGTTCTGAGGGGCTCACTCAAGGGAGTGCTGCTTGCACCAGAGATCTGCGACAGGACCCTTTGGGTTTAGCCTGAGGCAGAGTAGCATGGTGCTGGGGTGTCTAGATCAGTGTCCTGAGCCCCATTGACCGCTAGCTCTCCAAACTTTAC